TGGGAAGAAACCCATAACATGACCATAAATGGAAAACCCATTATCACTTGTCAGAAACAGAAGGCACCTATAAACATAATTATGTAACAATTGACATTTTTCAAAATTATCCTTGTACCACTTAAAATTATCCTCCGCACCACCCAGTGTTCTGTGGGCAGCTGTTAGGGAAATGCTGCATTCAAGGGAGGCTCCAAGTTGGGGGTTTACTTGGTGCTTTGCTGTGGCTCCTGCCCTGAGTCAATGTCACCCCTCCTCCATGGAGACCCTGCATCCTGCACCCCTAAGCCCTCACAAAAGGGCTCCCACTTCTGTGCTCCCTCCCTCTCCACCCTGTATCCAGGGCAGACTGTGGCCCTTTGCTCTCCCCTACCCCCTCAGCTGCCCTCCACAGCATCCTCTGGACACCCCAGCCTGGACTGCCTCCTGCTAGGATGCGGGAAGCCTCCCAGCACAATAATGTCACCTGATCCATCTCCTGTTTTCCAGGCAGAAAGCGAGGACCTCCGGCATGTCATCATTCCCTTGCTGCTTACTCTAATGTATGTGCTCACCAAGGTGAGCTGGGGGCTGAGGTCAAGGTGGTAGTGGTGACCCACATGTGGCTGGACCGGACACTGTCCTCTCTTCTTAGTGGTTGCTCAGTCCCTGCCAGGGTCAGCCTAGAATAACCTCTTTGATTGGCTGCCCCAAACTGGCTTCTCAGCACAAGCTGTGCCCTTTCCCTCCCACACAGAGAGATAACATTGGGGAGGCTCTGGGGAGGTCGAGGCAGGGTGGAGAAGGGATGGAGAGCCTCGAATGGCAGGATGAGGTCTTTGGATTTCCTCATACATGCAATGGGAACCATCATGAATCCCTACACAGAAAAGAGATGTGATAAAACTTTTCTAATGTCATGGAAAGAGTCACCTGGAGCTGTGTATCGTCTCGGGGTGGGGGTGGTGGTGAGGAAGGCAGGGAGAGGAAGTCTGCGTGGCTCACTGGAGAACCAGGGGCAGGTGGGGCATGGCTGGCTCCCACAGAGGAGAAGGGACAGGACTGTTTCATGCAAGGAGGAGCAAAGCAGAAGTGATTCCAAGATTTTGAACCTGGTGGGCAGGAAGGTGCTGCCCTGGTGGAGCAGAAAGGCTCGTGAGGGCGGGCGGGGGAGGGGGTTTGATTCGCTGATGACACCAGATGAGAGAGTTTCCACCTTGGTAAGCTAGAAAGGAGCAGAAAAGGAATGTCTTATGGGTGTGCTGGAGGAAGAGCCTGGAAGATGTGGGTTTGGGAGGTGGCTGCGAGCTCAAGTCTGGCCGTGGGGCCCGACCCCGTCCTCCTCTTCCAATCTCCCCCAACACTCCCCCCAGGACCCTTCATGACCTGGGCTCTGGGCACCCCAACTCCCCCTCCCACCCAGGCCACAGGCATCACGGAGGAGCTCTACCAGAGGGCCTACACCTTCTGCATGAGGTTACTGACTCTGCCCACCCCCTACTGCACGATTGCCTTGGACTGCGCCATAAAGCTGAAAACGGAGACAGCTGTCCCAGGTAAGAGCCTCCGAACGTCTTTTTCTCCCAGGCTACACCTCCAGCACCACCTCGGGTCTTGCCTTTTTCTCTGGGATACTGAGGAACTTAAAAGTCTCACCACCCTCTGTGGGAAGGTAGGGAATGGAAGTCAGAGCCTTGGGGGTTGGGTGGCTGAAGTGGTTTGATCTGCAGGGACGCTCTACCAAAGGATGGTCATTGCTGAACAGAATTTGATGAACGAACTGTACCCCTACCAGGAGAGGTGAGTGGCTCCAGAAAGGACTCTGCTTTCAGCCCCTGCAAGGTATTGGGGACTGTGGCTGCTCAGTGACAGGAGGACAAAAGAAGAGGCTGGATTGGGAGCGCCCCAGCAGAGCTTCCTGGCTGTGACATTTGTCCAGCCGTGGAGTGTGTTTGCAGTTCAAGGGTGGACAGGCCATGTGGTTTTCTGGAGACTGCTGAAAGCAGGGCAGGTCTTTCTTGGTAGGATGGATTCAGAGCTACCCTGCTCACCTGCAGAAGGTGGACATAGCCTTGGGGCCATTCTGGAGTTCTTTTGTTCCACCTACATCCTGCTCGCTGCCAGGAAGCAGCAGCAAACCAGCCAGGCAGCCAGAGGGGGCTCCAAAATAGCCATGGTGGAGGAGGGTCAGCCATAGTCACATGCAGTCTGGAGGTTTTCTACTGAGCGTGCCCAGCTCTTTAGAAAAGACTGAGGAAATGGCCACTATTCATGCTGGGAAAAGGGGTGATAAAGTCAGGGTTGATGCCTCCCTCTGACTCAAGGCACAGCTTGAGTTTGAGGTTGAGGCTGCTGTGTTCATGAAGAGTGCAGGGAGGTGAAGGGGATCCAGGCCAATTAGCACTGGAAAAGTGGGGCTGGCTCGGCGCCTATAGCTCAACCGGCTAAGGCGCCAGCCAC